TGAAACTGAGCCATGAGTTGTAATTGTTGTTTTTATGCTTATCAATTATTATACGTTGCCCATTGGTACTACTGGTTAGTACTCAGGGCTGACAGACTTGCTCTTGAGCTAAAGTAAGCCCCTCATCATTCATGGCGTGTTTGTTGCGCCACTTGATCTGTAAATATTCCAAAGATGCAGCCTCATACAGCGCTATAATACATCTCCTCTCACAGAAAACTTTGGACAGGTATGAATCTGATGATGTGATGGACCCAATTCTTCATAAGCATTTCAGAGTTGGAATTAAGTCTCTCAGATGCTCCATTTGTCTGAATGCAAGAGATGGAATTATGATCATTTGATTTTGAAAACAAACATCCTTGATTCCTTATACACTCTTTTTCTCCTAACTTCATATATCTAACATAACCCATTCTCCTCAGACTCTAGTTTGAAGCACCTTTTTTGATTATTTAATTCTGAAAGAACCAGTGCATAGACCTGAAATTACGAATCAGGATTATCAGTCCATCATCTACCCCAAGTCACAAAAAGAAACTTTTACTTTTCTCCATGTTGACCATCTGTGTATTAAAGAAGCTCGTTCAAAAACACAATCTTATCAACAGAAAGTATAAAACCCTCACTCATTTGTCTCATTCCCTATTAGTGTCAAGTCTTGATTTATATTTGGTAATCTTTTTGCTCTTTTGATACTTTGTAAAAAAGCTCGAAGGCCAAGAGTGATCATAATTGAAAAAATCCTATCTGTTCTGCTGAGTAGTCATTTCAATCTATTTTGTACCCCTAGACCAATTTACAGAAAAACAACTCTAATCTATTCCTTTCTTGGACTCTAGTCTCTATTGATTTGATCATAACCCATCACTCAAACTTCTAACCACTTCAAACTTTTCAACTCCCAAAACTTTATCACCAACTCTAAACTCATCAAACCCATTTCCAAATTCAATTCCACATTCTTTACCTTTAGAAATCGATTTTTCTTCTTTTTTTCCATGTTTAAGTTGTTCAAGATTTCCTATTCATATGAAACAAGATCAAATTTTAATCAAAATCAGAATGACAACTGAACCAAACTGAGAAGAAAAAAATTCAAACCTTCCCAAATGATTTCCATCCCTCTCATGATCCTAACCCCATCTTTCTTTTGATTTCACCATTCATAACCTTACATCCAGCTACTTTCTTAGTAATCCGACCTTTAACAGTGATTTCAAAGACTTCAGCAATCGTAGCTTCTCCCACTACTCTTTCTTCAAACCGCTTAGGTAACATCTCAATCAATTTCTTCGTCACATGTTCTACTAATCTATAAATCACACTTTCAGTTTTACATTCAATCTTATGAGTTCCCATCGGAATAAATGCCGCTCGATCGATTCCAACATTAAATCCAATAATCATTCCTTTAGAAGCTACTGCCATTCCTACATCACTTTCCGTTACATTTCCTACTCCACTACTCACAATCTTAACCCTTACAGTTTCATTCCAAGTCCACCTAATGCAGTTTTTAACGCTTCAACCGTTCCTGTAAAATCAGCTTTAGTGATGATCCTTAACTCATGTTCTAATTCTAATTCTGATTCTCCTTTAGCTTTAGCTTCAGCAATCATCTCTGATTTTTCTCTTTCACGTAAATGTTGCCATCTAGCACGTCTATCAAGTCCAACCAATTCAGATTTCTTATTTTCAAAAATCTCTTTAGCATTCGCTCTTTTCTCATTGACCACTTCAATCTCTTCAATTAACTTTCTAGATTCTTCTCTTCTGATCCTATTTTCATATGCTCTCTTTGCTTGATCTTCCGTTTCGACTCCTAAGACCAAACTACCAGCTTCGGGTAATTGTTTCCATCCAGTTACTAGTGCTGGTTGACCTGGTTTAAGTAATTGGATCGGTTCACCAGAAACTGAAATCAATTGACGTGCACGACCATAAGAAGTACCAGCAATAAGATCAGTTCCAATTTTCAAAACCCCTCTCAATCCGATCACTGTTGCCACATTTCCTCTTTCTCTTCCAACATCCGATTCGATCACTCTACCTTCAAATCTGACCCCTTCAAGTTCTGCTCTTAACTCTCTCACTTCTGCTACTGCAATTATCGTTTCTGCTAATTGATCTAATCCTTTCTTATTGATCGCAGAGACTTCCACACATGGAATTTCGCCACCTAAATCTTCAATTTCGAGACCGGCTTCATATATCATCGATTTCGTTCGATGTAAATCTATTGATGGTTTATCACATTTCGTAATCACCACGATGATTCCAATATCAGTTTGTTTAACTAATTCGATCACTTCTAATGTTTGAGGTTTAACTCCATCATCTGCTGCTACTACAATGATAGCCAAATCTGTGGTTAAGACTCCTCTACTTCTCATCGAACTAAATGCAGCATGTCCAGGTGTATCTAAAAAAGTGATCGTTTTAGGTGTTGTCTCATCTTCTTCTTCTTTTTGGATTTCATCTTGATTGTTTTTAGATTGTTTAAGTTTAGTTTAAATCAGAAACCAAAACTTCAAAGGCACCGATATGTTGAGTAATCCCACCAGCTTCATGATTTGCAATTGAAGATGATCTTAATGAATCTAATAAGTTGTCTTTCCATGATCCACATGTCCCATTATACAAACTATTGGAGGTCTTAATGGTAGATTAGATGAATCATTTGATATTGGATCTGGATAAATATCAAATGCTAATGAATCATTTATAATTGGTTCGTAACCTGACTCTAATGCTAAATATGCTGAATCATCTGAAGTTAAAATTCGATCTGGTCTTGTATCTGTTAAACCTAATGATTTCATAAGTGATTGTAATTTACCTATGAAGAAAGAAAGAAAAGTAAGATTTATTGAGAATTTTTTTTGAAAAAAATGAATCAGATTCTTTTTTCAAGAAAAAAACATTCTTACTTAATTTTTGATTAGTTAAATTTGAAAGTTGAGAAACTGTCATGATTGATCCAATAGCCAATTGATTTTTTTTCTTTAAATTCTTATTTTCATTTAAACTTTCTTTATTTTTCTCTCTTGATTCTAATAATAATAATTTTTTAGCTTTCTTTTCTTGTGCAGCTTTACTAATGATGATATTATTCTTTAATTTTGGTTTTATAAAATCAGGTAAAATTCCTGCTCTTCTTAATTTCTTCTCTTCATCTTTTTTTCTTGAATTCGTTCGATGATCATGATTTCTTATCGTGGGTTTTGATGTAGATGGTGTAGGTTGGTTTGGGAATGATGAGGGTTGTGATCGGTTTTGTTGTCGGTTTTCTTGTGCTTGAAAAGTTTGGATTGGGTTGTTTGGTTGATAAGATGAATGGGATGGTTTTGGTTGGAATTGATGATAAGGTCCTTGAAAGTGATAAGGTTGATTTTGATTTTGGAAAGACTGATGTTGTTGATAATTGGAATGTTGTTGATAATTTGGATGTTGTTGATAATTTGGATGTTGTTGATAATTTGAATGTTGTTGATAATTTGGCTGTTGCTGATATCTTGGCTGTTGCTGATAATTTGATTGCTGCTGATACCTTGATGGTTCTTGATTAGATCTAAATGGATCTTGATAATTTGAATTTTGTTGTTGTGGTTGTGGTTGAAATTGAAATTGATTAAATTTGTTTTGTTGTTGATTTTGATGAATTGAAGTTGAGAATGATTTTTGATTTAATTTAATTTGGTTTGCAGTGCTTAAGATTAATTTACTTGAATTCTTCATTCTTACTTTTGACATTTTCAATTTTCCTCTTCTTGTTGTGGCACTTCAACTGCTTGATCAATCACTTTCCTTTGCAAGTTCTCGGAACTAAAACTCACATTTTATGTATCACTGTATCATGTAATCCCATATCCTAATCTCAAAACCCATAATATTGTAACTTGTCTTAATCTCAATCAACTTCCTTGTCAAGACATTTTGCTACGACAATCATCCAAAGATTCATGTAACATAGTTGAGCTGTCGTTGGAGAAATAAACAAATCTTTCCTTGTAGTTCTTCACCATCGTAATCTCCGCTTGAGGTACACATAACTCACTGAAGGATCTTTACTTGAAGATGGTTCTGGCTAAAAATACCATCGGTTAGGTATTTGACTTGAAATAGGATTGGCACCTTGGGATTGGGTAAATCTTCTATGGTGTTTTCTGTTCAGACTGCGAAAAAATAAAGATTATATAGTTTTTGACTACTAGAAAGGATAAAACGGTGGATGATGAATCAGAGGATATGAAGATATTGAATGAAAACATGTCAAATGATAGGAAACAAGAGGATAAAGCAAAATGAAATTAAGAAAAGGTAAAGAGAAAAATTCAAAATGGCTGTGCTCAAAACCATTATAAGATTAGTAAGATCTGCTTCAAAGGAAGGCACGCGACCTTCACAAAACACAGCAAGAGTTTATGTACAAAGCCAACTTAGCCTGACTCGATTCACTCCAATCCCTAGGAACCGGATCAAGAGATATGTTGTAGAGTCATCAAGTACAATTCATCAAGGCTGAGATGGGCTCGTAAGAAATCGGTACACTTGAAGTGCGCGAGGAACATTGAGATAGTGTGATACCTACACCACGGGGTGACTTTAAACTGAGCCCACCTGAAATCAAATCAGTGTGGCCTCAGGTGGAGAGCCCGGGAAAAAAGGGCATTTCTAGGTGACATGAACGTGGGTGAGGTCAGGTGGCCCTCACCCAGGCCGTCACCTGGCGGTCACATCCCCAAAAAGATTCATGTTCCACTGACGTGGTTTACTAGCTGGTTGGCAGGTGAGTCAATTTGTCTGAGGACGGCCTGGATTCCAGGTGCTCAGCATCCAAATGAGCATTTGATCAATCTCATTCACAACTTGGGTTCTTTGTATCATATCTTTTAAATTTTTGTATGATTTAGTCATATCACTCAATTTGTGGGTTCGGATGTCAATGGGAAATGTAGAACCATCTATGGACTCCAGTGACACTATTGGCATCACAAGTGTCTGTAGCCTATTGGTAAAGCTAACACTTTGGTATGTGTCCCAGTTCTTCTGGTGTCATGGGTTCAATTTCCATCAGACACATATTTATGTTTTATCATCTCTAACACATCATATGAGTATTTTCACCTGATCAACAGGTGAGAATCCTTGTATAATGGAAGGGTGAGCATTCGCCTTGTGGATGTGTAATCACATCAGGTGTTGGCCGCCCTGAGTTTCACCTGAAATTAAATCAGTGTGGCATCAGGTGGAGAGCCTGGGACTTTTTGGCAGAGGACCATTTCACCTGATGCTCACCTGCCAGCCGCCCCGTGGTGTATGTGAAAGGTGAATGGAGGAAGGGAAGTGGTACAACAGCTCTGAAAAGACGGGCAAGAAGAAGGGCAAATACGACACCTGCTATAGCCTATCAGAGGCTGATGTCGTGTCAAGAACCAGATTTAAAAGTTTCTACAGTTTTGTGTTCGTCCCATATCTCATCTGGGGTAAAAAGCGTCCATGCAATTTTCAATCTCATTTTTTCTTTCTTGTCACACTCAACTGAACATAACAAGAATACACAAGATAAAGCCAAAACAAAAGTTTCACAAGTCTCGATTTTTATGATGTACTCGTAGTCTCAAGTTTATTCAAAATTTACTCAACTTTTCTGTTCAATTTTTTGGTTTCCCGTCCACTACCGATATCTGATTGACAGAAATCTTCTTAGTGCAGTATAGATCAATAAATCTTGATCGTTTAAATTTGACATCTGATTATCTGATAAATTTATTTTTTATCAAGAAGAAACTAATGGTACAAAGAAATGTAGAGTTAAGATTTTTTTTAATACAAGACATCAATCGAAAGGAATTCATCAAATAAATGAGAATATAAAAAAAACTTAAGATCTCAAGATGATAAAGAGAGATAGAGAGAAAGGAAAGAAACTCAATCTTAAAACAAAAACAAACTGAAGATAAGATGAAGAAAAAGTTTGACCTGATTCGGTTTAGTCTTTTAATCTATACCCTTCATCAATTTAACCCTTTTAACAAACTCATCTGATTTTTCAATTGTTAAAGGTCTTTTCAATGAAAGACGTAATCTAGCCATTTTTGGTCTATCTACTTTAGAATCATAAATCACCTTTGTTGGAAAGATTTCAAGTGTTGTATTAGGTAACTTTGAAACTAAAGTTTCGATTGAGTTTAATCGTCTTCGTTTTTTATTAAATTGATTTGGTAATGAAGTTCCAGGTTCGTCTACATCCGCTTCCTCCCCTTTCATACTATTAACCTCAGTATCGGTGTTCATGAATTTCCAAGCTATCTTGGGTAACGAAACTATTTTTCGAGTCCTTTTTCTAGACGAGATGGATTTGAAGGCTTTCTTTCTTAGAGTTTTCATTTTGACTTTCATCTTCAAACTCATCTCATCACCGCTATCCAAACCTGAGCTTTCACATACAGGATAGTCAGATTGGGAATCATCAATTGATTTCCATTCTCTCAATCTTCTCTCATCTTCAGAGCCCGACTTTTCATCTTTATAGCCCTCAGCTTCTTTTCGACCTATTCCTGAACCTCGTGACTCAATTGAAGGGTTGAATTGGTAGTCGGGATATACAGGATTAGTGAGAGTGAATTCAAGAAAAACTGGAAGAGTTGATGTGTCTATATAATTAAAATCATTGGGTTGATGAGCACCCAAGCTTTGAAGTAATCTTTCAGTGAAGTTTCTTGATCGAAGATTGGGAGGGAGTCCAGTGAGAGTGACAAGGAGACTGGACATCTTGGGTCTTAATGGTGCGATGGTTTCAAGGTTGAAGACAAGGAGATTGGTTCTGCTGGATCCTGAAGTGTGAGTGAAGACACCTCTATCTAATCTTGTGTTCTTCCTAAAGTTCTTCTTGGTTTGAAGTGAGTTAAAGCGGATGAGTACAAATTTAGATTCTGCAGGTCCAGCAACGGGATAGAATACATCACATAACTTCTCTAAGGTTGATTTGATGACTTCTAAGTGAAACAACTTTCTAGGATCATCCGATAAAGTTGCCGAATCTGAGAATGGATGAACATTATGGGTAGTCTCAAGGGTGATAAAGCTAGGACGTGATGAAATCTCAAATGGTTCATCTTCGTTATGTTCTTCTAAAGCTTGACCGAAAAGATGAGTAGAGCTTGATGAGGTCTTGACCGTTGGCTCACAGCCACATGAATCGAAAATTGGAATTGTGGATGGATCTAACATCATATCTTCTTCGAAGTCCCCATGTTCCTCGTTGTTGAGATTACAAGCCATTCTGAAATGACGATTGGTTGAGGTACCAGGTTGGAATTCAAACGAAGATTCCAATGCGTCGTTCGAGTTCATGACATCATCTCTTGGTCCTCCAAGTAGAAAAGGACCTAGAGTAAGAAAGGTGAGTAAATTAATCAAGGTCAAACTTAGAAAACAGAAAAACGAAGGAAAGATAAACTCACCTCTCGGGGTATGATCCACTCCCTGGAAATCTTCGATCATCGATCGGCAGTCCTCCGAACAGAATAAACAATCTAGAAAACAAAGTAAGCAAACCCGATAAAACATGAAAAGATTGTAAACTCACTTCTGTTGCAATCCACTGGATGACTGTAAGGCGTCAAACCAATGGGTCTCATCTCCTCAATAGTTTCTCGAGCCATTTGTAGGGTAAGACTCAAGTAGGATGAACTAATCTGAGAGTTCATGATTGGATAACAAGGAAAGGGTTTGAGAAATATGTTTGATATTGGTTTAAGAGTTAAAACCGTTGGTAGTCTTTTGTGTAAAGGTGAAGAAGTGTGATAACTTTGGTGAGAGTGTTGATAAGTATTCAAATGGAGAGTTTTATAAGAAAAATAAGAAATCGAATGAAGAGTCTAAGGATCAACGTGTGCTGAGGGAAAAAGTTTGGAGGATTTTCCTTCGCTTTCTATAGGGCAAAAGAAAACAAATCTAGCCATACTAATTGCGACTTGCTTAGTGATTTTTTCAAGTTGCTTTGTTTTGATCATTTCGCCCTTTCCCAACGCATGGTGACCCATGATTTTGCTCTTTTTGTCTTGATAAGCTCATATTCCTCATAAGGCGCGAAAAGGTCAGTCATTTTCACTAAGCTTAATGTCCAAAATTATTGAGAAATTTTCTTGTGAACAAGTCTCCTATTATGCGCCGGAAAGATGGGGATTACCTGAGCAAAGCAAATTGATCTCTTTCTTACATTCCGTTTGGAAAGGTTGGAATGAAGAGATCACTTTGAAGATGAAGAAATCAGGACGTGTTTCGTAGTATGAAACCCGTTCTGTTTGCATGACCTTTGCAAAGGGCATGGCCAAAGTTTCAACCTCATGCTTAGCTTAGCAGACGTTCACCCTCTAAGGATCGATCCAGACACTCAATAAGCTAGCTTAACACAAGCGCCTGAGCCTCACCCTCGGAGTCATTGACTGTGTTTGGTCTTTTTTTTTTTTTTTTTTTTTTTTTTTTGCATGGTTTTAAGTATTCATTCAGTCAGAAGACTATCGAACACTCTGCACTTATTTCTAGGACCGTTAAAAACCCTGTGGCTGTTCAGGGAAAAGGTAGCTAGTGGCTGTTTGGTGTGCGCGTACAAAGGAAGTTACAATGGCATAAAGGCGATGAAGTCATGAGATTGGAGGTGTTACTCCAGGGGGAGGGGGATATCCTTAGGATGGGTTTCGCCAATGGCGGTAGCCCAAACCCATCTGTGTCTAAATCTCCAGGTTGAGTTGCAGTATTCTGCGATGGCTTTGAAGGCCTTGGTGTTCGAGAGGATGGACTTGTTTAACTTGACACCCAGTTCTAAGGAGATTTCGTCGAGTTTCATTCTTTGTTGTTCGTATCTATGGCAAATGAAAAGAAAATGTTCAACCGTCTCGAGCCCTTCCTGGCACTCACAGGTGGGGTCGACGGGTTGACAAAACCGTTTCAAGTATGTATTCAGCGGGACGTGTCCTGATCTGAGTTGCGTTATCGTGGTGATTTCATGTTTCTTAAGTGAAGTTATGCTGTCGAGGTGTTTCTTTGAGCAAGGTTTGTGACCTAGGCGCTTGGTGTCTTCTTTGCTGAAAGTTTCCGTTTGGGATGTCCTCCATTCTTTAACGGCCGAGATAAAAGCCGCCGTGTTTGGCGAGCTCTTGAAGTTGCTTGGGAGTTTGCGCTTTGCAAGTGTGTTTGCGATCTTGTCAACGGTGTCGTTGCCGGGGATTCCTGCGTGACCGGGACACCATCGGATGTTGACCTTAAGGTGAGGATAGCTGTGTTGTATGCTACGCAGAAGGTCAAAGGTTTTCTTGCGATTGTCTAGGGAGGATAATGAGGATGAGTCGGAGCTCAGGTCTTTGACTACGCCTTGGTTGTCAAGGACGATGGTGGCGCGCCTCGTGGCGTGTGTTGCTATTTCGAGGGTGGTCTGGAGTCCCAGTTGGACTCCTCGGTATTCGGCTTGGTAGATGCCATGGGAGCGAGCTGGCCCAAGGGTGACGGCTTTTGACTTTCTGGTGTTTGCGCACCAGGCAGCTGCGGTTGTGTTCTTGCTCGGGATCCTGGATCCATCGGTGAAGAGGACCAAATGGTGTTCTGTTGGGGCAAGGCGGATGGCGTTAGCTTTTGCAACGCTTTCATCAGTTTGGACTAGGGTGGAGTAGTTAGTAGGCCGGATGAGTGTGGACGCCGGGTCCACCGGGAGTTGGGTGATGTGTTCTTCGAATTGCTTGCATAGGGGGTGCTGGAAAAAGAAGTCGAAAGGGTCCTTGTGGTATACGGCCGTCGCAAGTTGAGCCTGTTGTATGATTTGGAATAGGGGGTGAGATCTAGGTTTTGTCAAAGACCTTGCCATGAAGCCAAGGATCTTGCTTTGAAGGCGGATCTTTGGGGGTGTGAGGTTCAAGTCGTGGAAGAGGAAGACTGATGGGGTTGTTCGTAAGGCGCCTAAGGCTGCCCTGGCGCACGTGAGGTCTACGGCGGTCATTTGTTCTATGAAGTAAGCAGGGGGTTCAGTGTTGAGCCATGCCATAGCGCCGTAGTCTGTGGCTGAGTGGATGGTAGTCGTCATAAGA